TTTGTCGATGCGTACGGAAAACTCGAATGCGGTTTGTAAACTGCAGAATTAGAGCGTTGTGTTTTGTCGGGGTCGAAAGTCAGCCTATGTGAAAATTCATTACCAAACAGCAATTCATTTGTCACGTACTAACGAACTTTTTTTAAATTACTTGTTATTTTATAGATTTTCCAATAGATAATTTAAATTTAAACCAGTTGATTGTAATTGTTAATTACATCACACTCTGTATAATATAAATCAGAAGACATTTCTAATACAGTCATACCTCGGTTAACGTTACTTCTAACAGCGAAGTTTAGATATAACGACGTTCGCAATTTTAAGCATATAAAATATTCCAATTTAAGGGTAATTAAATTAAAAATGAGGTTATCCAGATTTAGAAAACCGAAAACGAAATTAAAGAATTTCTTGCCAAAAACTGTTGACATTAAATTTTTTTAGTGAAATAATTTCGCAGACGACTTGACATGCTCACTGATTTCAGCGTTTATAATGTCTAGGTCCATCCATGTGAGGACACAGGACAGCGACGCGTTGTGGCCGTGTTTTTGGCAACGACCACAGTCCTGGGGTTGTCTGACTTCGGTATGATGCCTCTCTTGGTTTCAAGAATAACATCCATTCTGTACCGGCCCCTCTCGACCACAATTTCGATAGTTTCAAAAGTGTTCAAAGATTTTTTGTTTGCAAAATACTTCTTATCAGTTGATATAGTAGGTGTTTGTGGCGTTTTGAAGACCTCGGCACTGTCATCTTTGGTTTTCTCTGTAATATTTTTTTTTGCGGATTCTTTCTTCGGTTTTCCGCCCTTCCGCTTTCCCTGCTCCCATCTGGAACCCGTGACCACCAAAGGGCAAGATAATGAATCTCTGCTTCCCGCTCCATGGTTATAAGTATGAACTGCGATCACACAGCACACACTCGATACCAAACGAAGCCAAAAAACAGAAATGTTTCTTGTCACAATGCTGCTTTCAAACATGTATATTAATTTATAACTTAGTCAAATAAATTTCAAATACAATCTCTTTTGTACATTTTGTTAATATTGCCGTAATATTTAATCTTGAATTCTCCGGGCTATAAGACTTTTTAGAAACAAAAAAAACTATTCTACTTAGATCATTTTGTTTACTAGATCTATAGCTAATTATTACAAATATTTACATATTTTAAATTACTCCCACAACTTGATCTTTTTATCATTTCACTATAAAATAGGAAATAAAGGTCAACAAGACCTACAGTCAGTAGACCTTTGCAGCAGTTGAATTTTATTTTTATAATTGTGTTGATTTTTTTTTTAAGTTTGTAATTCATTGTTGCAATAAATATAATTATCAAGGAAATAGAGTTTTCTTTTCATTTTAATTATTGCCAGGAAGAATAGAAAATAATATCATTTAATTCTTTGTCTTTCCACCAACCTTCTCATTAACTTGTACCGCGCACAATTTCGCCAGTTTCTGTCGTATCATTTAATTAAATTAAGGTAACCACTGCAACTTGTGAACTAAACGTCAGATTTCCGTGAAATTTTGACACGTGTCATCTGAAAATTGGTACTTCCTAAAATTCATATGGATTTGTTGATAGAGACGCCATCTATATGTCATCCTACGAACATGTTGAGTGAGGTGTTAAAAAAAGTAACAGCATAATGTAATGAAACAAGTAATTTAATTAATTATATGCAGAAATTAATAATTACTTGTTATTTTTTTTTAATTAAAGTTGTTAATTACTATTTTGAAAAGTGAATTTAGTAAAATCCAATTAAACTGAACAAAAAATGCTGTCTTAAGTAATTGTTATAAAAATTAGTTAATATCAATTATTTTCATAACAAGTGTATCTCTATACTTTCAATTAAACTAGTATTTAACAGTAGTATTTAATTTGTAATTATAATAAAAATATAATATAATTGTTTTGTAGAATATTGTATAGCTATGTTTTTTAAAACAATTGTTTGGAAACATTTTATATTGCTATTATTTCATTATAAAAATAGTAACGAAGAAAGTGTTATCTCATTGAATCACTCAATCGTACCTAGATCTTTAAATTTTAATGAAATTTTAAAATATTATCCACTTTTTATTTATTTAGAAAGTATTTCAAAATAATTGTAGAAAATTCTATAGCTATAGTATAAATAATAATTGAAATAAAGTGCTTTGTGATTATTTGTTAAAAAAAGTGCATTACTGTAGCAATTTAATAACAAAAAACGTAATAGAGGAAGTATGCATTTTCTTGGTCGAAGTTTTTTAGAATTTCATTTAAACCTTAAAACAAATGTTATACTGTGTTAAGTAATTATGAAAAAATAGTTAATAGCAATTGTATAAATAAAAAAGTACATGTAATTGTTATGAAAGTGTTTAAAAATAATTGTTTTAGAGAAAAGTCTAAGCTCTAGTTTAAATGATACCAAAGAATTTGTAATTGAAATAATTTGTTTACAAAAACAATGCATATGAAAAAAGTGCATTGCTATAGTTTTCATAGGAAAAAAGTAACAAAGGAAGTGTGAACTCACTGCATGTGCTTTTTTCTCAGGCATAGTTTTTACAATTTCAATTAAATAGAAAAAAAATGTTATGCTCTGTTATGTAATTATAATAAAAGTAGTACATCTCAATAATTGTAAGAAAAATTACTCGCTTAACGAGCGACGTTTCGCATAACGAGTGACGATGAGAACAGAAGTCCCGGATTACGCGCCTGCTACATCATTTTTAAAACTTGTGTACACATACTATATGTATATTTTAATATATTGCAGTATACAAGTAAAAATCCGGAAATTTTGGAAAGGATTAAACTCGTTAAGCGAGGTTCCACTATAATCTTTTTTAAAACAATTGTTTGATAAAAAAAAGGTGCTATAGTTTTAATAGAAAAAAAAAGTAACAAAGGAAGTGTCAACTGACTGGATATGCACTTTTCTCGGTCGTCTTTTTTATTGTGCGCGATCGGCAAAAACGAGATCAGAATTTGCGTATTACAAAATACATGAGGTGTGTTGCTATTTCAATGAGTGCGGCGTGAAATTGGTTTTCTCGATGTCAGATTTTTTTTCTCGATTCAAGGAAACTGTAAACCATATGAAACTGAGTAAAACGCTTCCTGTTGCCACACGCGCAAATCAATAAAGCGAAACAATAACTCTTCAGATTCCTATCACGTGCATTACATATGATAACAGCTCACTAGTTTATTTTTACAATCTCAATTTAGCTGCACACACGCGTTATAATATTTTTTTCACACATGAAACAATATGATTATCCTGGATTTGATGTTATATTAACATCCATATTTTATATTATAGTTAATAAAATATGTATGTTGCTGATTATCATGTCGATATTACATGTAGTTCATGAAAAGAACCAATTTAAATAAATTATAATTGCACTTTTTGAAACTGCCTCGATTTTTTCGGTAATAAAAGTAGTTAAAACACACAAAAAATAAAAGCACAAAAAGAGTATTCACAGTATAAATAGAAAGAAACGATACTTTGTACTTTTTTTTAAATTCAAACCCTATTATAGTGAATCGCTGTATTTGTATGATATATATTGAGGAACATAGAGTAATAATTGGACAAAAAATGGGTCTATATCAAAATTCCGACAATATCTTTTATTATTTGAAATAAAATTTAAAATATTCTAAATTTAAATTAATTTATTATTAAGGTTAATTATGAATAATAATAATAAAAGATTATGTCGACATTTTGATACTGTCGGGATTTCAAATGTCGGAATTTTGGATTAATAATATTATCTTATAAGTAAAAATCTAATTATTTCTTAATTTATAAATATTTGTTACCATATTTTGTTAACCTCTATCACATATTTTACGTATGTAAAACGTTTTAAAATTTGAGTGTATCATACTTCCTCAAAGTATTGTCTCATAAATTTTTGGTAAATCTTATAGACAAAGTAAAAACTTATTTTTTTTTCTGTAATTAACCGATACAAATTAATAGACTTTCAACGCTCTCATTATTATGATTTTGCACGTTCATTTTAAACAAAAAAAAAAGTAATTAAAAACAGTAAGTAAAAAAATAAGAAGTAATTAGATGTTGAACTTTTTTTCAATGAAAAAAAAAATATAAGTAATAATTGCAAATTGTAATATATCCAATTAATATTACTTAACGGACAATTAACTTGTGAAAACAAACTAAAAAAACCTTTGCACCTACATTAATTAATATAACTTTTAAACGAACAAAATATTCATAACACTAAATATTATTTATTTATATTTGTATTAACGTACAAACTCGACCGTAGCTTTAACGATGAGGATGAATCCGAACTAACCTTAAACTTAATTTTGAAAATAGACCGCGTGTTCCTGTAACCTTTCGGATCAAGAGCTATGGTTAATCAAAATTTATTGCTTCCATTTGCACGTCATGCATGGAAATTTTACATGCGAGAAGAAAAACGAAAACAAATAAATTGAAACTAAAAAAATCTTCAAGTTAAAACACGTGCGCGATATTTATATAATATACAAGTACGTAGAGTATAAGTAATTAAAACGAGAGTTGTTTTAATAAGGGTGAATTTAAAGAACTAATTATTCTAAAATGTTTGTATTTCTGCAACGTAGTTGACGGTCGAAGGAAAATGTCGTTAAAACGAGAGCATGAAAATAATATTTGTGGTACAATTATTGTTTGTCTGTGTGTTTTTTTTTTAATTAAAGTAGAGAATTGTGCAGGTTTTACGAACTGTGTAATATTTTTCTTTATATTTAATTTCTGGTAAAAGCAAAAAAGAAGTTTTGCTCTCAAAAACTTATTTAATTAAGTTTCATTCTTGTTCTAATTGGAGATTAATTGAAGTTTAAAATTAGGAAAAATTAGAGTTTTAAATTAGTGTTTTGATTATCATATCATAAGATTGAGAAAATAAAAAATATGTTAAATATCTTAACGTTGTACGACTTACGTTTGTTTGAATGAAATATCTGTGAAGTGCTAACGTTGTCCATTAAACCTTCTTAAATGGGTGCGCAAATTTGCATGTCACCATGGAGAGATTTGTGCACTACGAGATTCGGATTGTCGTATTGTATTTTCGTATATGCGTAGGTGGTAATAAGGAGGTATGCGTTTTATGTCCGATAGGATTCAAGTCGGGAACAAAAATGCACTTTTGCACGGGCAGACAATTTTGCGCGCAAACTCGATCCCCAATGGTCACATTGCAACTAAACGACGAATTAACGCTATCCACACTTCGGCGCTTACATGAATTATGTATTGTTATTATTATCATCATCAGTATTTGCCATTGGATCGGCCAACACCAATAGCGGCATTTGCCATTAACATTTCTGATATTTATGTTGTACAATTTTACAAAACGCTGACTCTTTACTCTCATTGTTTATAATTTATTATTATTACTAGTTTAACCATTCATTTGTACCAATTTAAATTCTTTCTATTTTATTACAATCAATTCAAATCTATTATTAGAATTGTTGATATTTTTAATTAAATACGTATCAACATACTTTTTATTATCATGACCATAAGACGCTCCTATTTTCTATATTTTTCTACTATCAATGCAAACTCTTGCCACTTATTATTGATACTTTTTTTTAATAGTTGTAGTTTTATTATAAGAGATTGAATTGTTATTATTTATTTTTTAAAGTAAATAATAACAATATAAAATGTTCAGAAATTCACTTAGATTTGTGTTACAGCGGTGGAAATCGAAATCCCGACAATCAAAATCCTGACGTTCGAAATCCCGACTGTATCAAAAGCCCGACAACCATAATCCCGATTGTATCAAAATCCCGATTGTATCAAAATCCCGATTGTATCAAAATCCCGACTATATCAAAATCTTGACTGTATCGAAATTCCGACTATATCAAAATCCCGACTATATCGAAATCCCGACTATTAAGCGAATCTTCGCTTGTAATCTTTTTTGAACAAAGAAAAAGTTTAATTGAATAAACGGTCAACTTACATCAAAGAAAAGTATCATCTTCTTAAAGTATCATGTTTTATGCTATTTAGGTGATTTAAAAAAAAATAATTGCCTTAAATTTGAGTCTTTTTTTTATTAAATTCGTTCGAAGCTTTGTTATCAGAGGTATTACTGGATATCCATATACTGAAATTAAAGAATAATAAAATATATTAACATTACTAATTATAGCTGTATAATTAGCAATATCATTTTAATTAAGTTGAATTAATTATTCAACGATTGGTTAATTATGTGGCGCTTACTCCAGCCCGGATATGACGTCTTGCTAAGTGACGTTATATCCGGTACGGTACGCCCCACTCTAACCCGTAGCTGGTCATCATCTTCAAAATTATATTAAAATGATTTACTACTTCGTTTTATTTTAAATTTGTAAACTTATTATATTTATGTATATTCAATTAATATAATTAAGTAAAATTCCAATTATTTAATGATTTTTTGAAAAAAATATTGTTCAATTACTACATCATATTTATTAAATAATTAATTTAAATTGAGAAATAAAATTTGCACATAAATTTCACACTAGCGTAAACTTGTATACATAAATTAATTGATTATAACTTGGAAGTTTTTATTTAGTGTTATTGCTTTTTAATTGATTGAATTGTATAACTAATTAAATAAATAGCACTATAGACTAGCATAAAACTACTTTTTTATAATATATTATTTGTTTGGTGAGAAAATACATAGCCATATATCGTTATTAAATACAATATATGACAAAATATTAATTATTCATATTTTTACGTATATGAATCCACTTGGAACTGTTGCTTTCCATACAATCATACCTTGATTAATGAAAACGACATTAAACGAATCTTTAAACGATTTTAGTGGAGAAATACTATGGCCATAATGTGCCATTTCTTTGTTTTCTTCTTTAGAAACCTGTCTGATATAGATAATAATCTGAATTAGTGTAAAGGAAATGAAAAGATTGTTTTCCAACAAAGAAAAAGTTTTATTAAATAAACAGTTATCAATGTGAAATTGCATTTTAAACTATGAGTTTTAACATTAGTTTCATTTACTAATTGTAAATACGGAGTTATTTTATTTGACACTAATCGCTTAAAAATAACAATTCTTCCTAAATCATGATCATTTTCACTACAAAAATATAAAACGTTCACAATGTTATTTTTACATAATTGCTTTTATATTTTTTTCGGTAGCAAATTTAGATATTCAATAAATTTCTAACATTCTTTTCATCATGATTTCGAATAATCAATTGATTCATCTATTTCGATAACTTCAATTCTAATTTCGTGTATGTTATTTTCTTCTTGAAATACCATGTATTATTCCATTTAAGTAAATTATAGGAATTTCTTTCAATAGTGTCTGTAATAGTGTTTTTTTTTCAAAAACTTTTAAATGCCTTAAATTTTAATCTTTTTTATATAAACTTTTTGAGAATCTATAAATTCCTAAATTTCTAAACCCAACAAATTTCTAGACAACTGAATCAGACAACAATGTCAACTGAATTAACATCGGATAATATGGACTATCAAAATGCATCTCTGAACACACTAACCAGTTAATTTTTCTTGGATATGTCCTAGAAAATTATAATAATGCCCCACTAGGCATATTGTAAAGGTATAACAATGCGTGTACCATCGCCCCTCAAAGAGTTAAATGTGACTTGAAATTGAGTACTTCATTATATCGAAGCTTTTTATCTAGTATTCGGATATCGATATTCTGAAATTAAAGAATAAAAAATATATCATATAATTATAAATACATAAACATGTAATGAGTAATTATAAGTGTTTAATTAGCAATATTTTTTAAATAAGTTAAATTCATTATTCAACGATTGCTTAATTATTTAATATTCGACAATAAAATTACCCACTTTTTAAATGTCAATGTAATTTTAAAATTAATTGTAACACCAAATTAATTAAATTCCAATTATTTAATTAATTTTTAAATAAAATTTTGTTCAATTACTAAAACCTATTTATTAAATAATGCATTTAAATTGCACATAAATTCCACACAAGCATAAATTTGTATACATAATTTAATTGAATACAATTTTTTTTTTGGAATTATTGAAAGTGAACTTATTATTTGAAATAATAATTTAAAATTTTCATTTTTTTTGCTGGTGCGAGCTTTTGCTTATTCATCCTTGATTATCAATTATTCTGTTTGGATCAGTTGATGTACACATGTTATTTGAAATAGATAGATTAAAAAAAAACAAGCATTTCAGTATTTTACTGTACTACAACATGCAAATGAATAGGGATTATTGTGTTGAAATTGTATAAAAATGGTATTACATATATTCAATAGAATACACCAATAACGATTTTACTAAACATGTAAACATATTGAAATAAACTTTCAAATATTCTAACTTACATTTCTTCTATTTTATGGAGTAGTTTTATTTTTTAGCAACGATATCCATCTAACGTTTTAATTATAAAATTAAATAGTCTGTATGTCAAATTATAACTAATTGTTCGGACGTACGTGCACAATATTCATACGTATACTTTATTGTACGTATGACACTTTATTCCATGTCTTATTTCCATCTTTTCTTTGATTAATATATTTTTTGTAACTCCTAAAACTAAACTAATTTTTAGCAACGTTTTCCATAAAATATGTTAATTATGAAATTAGACAGACTATATGACTAACATCTCATATTTAATTAATGTATTTTTCTTTGTAGCTCTTAAAACTAAAAGTTTAACGACGTTATCCATTAAATGTTTTCATTATAAAATTGTATAATCTATATGTTATATGAATACTGATATACTTATAAAAAAAATTGCATATAAGTTTGCTTGTACGTACACAACATTCATACAAATGTATGCTTTAGCATACACAATTCATAACAATAAAATTTAAATTTTATTTCAGACAAATCATTTTTATAATTCAAGTGTGCGTGTAAATAAGTTACGTAATAAACGTTAATATCCACATGGAATTTTCTTTCTGACTTGTAATTATTAAAAAACATCTTGTTTTTTAAGTTTTGTCATGTTATTCATGCATTTGCTATATATTTGTTCATCTTAACGTACACAAGATTCATACGTATATCGAATCTTAAACAAATGTACGTTAAATGAACATTGAGCTGTAAAATGGTAATGTATAAAATTAAAACATCATAATATACAAAAAAATAAAGTAATATGAATTAAATCCATTATTATAATAGCAGATAAAGAAAATTATAAATACACACTAAATAAGTTTGATAAGTTATACGAGTCTCTCTGACTTAAATCAATAAAATAATTTCTACAAAAAGATCATGAATCCTCCATTTTCTCATATTTTTCTAAGCATTTGTGAGGTGATTTGTTTTGTCACATATAAATTCATGCATTTACGATCTATTAATTCAATTCAACATGTACACAAACGTATAGTCAGACCGTATTGCAAACGTATCTTAAAAAGTTGTACTTTATCTGAATGTTGAGCTGTATATTGTTGAATTATACATTTAAATAAAATAATATACTTTAGAAATTATTAAAGAAACTTTCAAAAAATATGAATTCTAACCGTTGATTATGAAAATTATAAATCTACAATAAATAAATTATACAATAAAGATGATAGTTGTTTGTTGTTTCTGCTTAATATATCTAAGGATATAATAGATGAATAACTGTTTTCAATATACATTCATACGTTTATGAATTCTATATTCACTCGAACGTACTCAACATTCATACGAACGTACACTTTGCTATCACATCTGACGTCATATACATATCAATATTTATATTTAATTTCATTTATGATGCTCACTCCAGCCCACTTATTTGACGTCACCTGCAAGCCCGGTACGGTGCAACCCACTCCAGCCCGTAGCTGGTATTCCGGGAAGGTCTGATAAGGGTACTACCTGGTTAGGGTATATAAGCGGCAACATATCTGTACCCGCTCCATCCGCCCCGTCCTCATCTATCCTTCCATTATCCTCTCAATTGCTTCCCAATCAAGCCTTCAGCGAATCCATAGCTTTGAGATAAATGTCATCCGTAAAATCCTCAAACTCCACTACCGCCACCCCAGCGAGCACCTCCACGACCTAGCCTCACTCCCCAAAATCCCCGAATTCATCCAAAAACTCCAAGCCTCGGACTCATTATACTGTAAAAAAAACCT